CAGCAGGAAATAAATATTACTGAATTATTAATATCTCACTATTTAGGTATTGCTTGAATCATTCCAGGACGATACAACAGTAATCGTGAGAAAATGCCTACACCAGATATCCTTCCTCAAAGTATACCAGAAAAAATAAAAATAGAAAAGATTACAAATCTGTAATTCTGTGCACAAGAGACAAGTGAGCCATCTTTATAAAGATAGAAGTGTAAGTGTTATTTTTATATACTAGTTTAAAATTTAGCCATTAAAACCTCATGCTTCAACTATTGTTCGGGTCTTAAAGAAAGGGAGAGAAATCATGTGGAAAGAAAAACTATATACCTAAAAAAATTAGAAAACTTTGGACTTAATTGATTTTATATCATCATATTTGGAAAAAAAAAAAAACAAAAAAAAAACAAAAACCAAAAAACAAAAGACAACATATCTATGGCATCAGATTTCTACCTATTTGAAAAAGCAGCATTTATAGATAAAATACAGTATAGGAATGTAATTTTTGGAACGGAATAAAAGTTTTTTGAAAATCTATTATAATTATTATTCCTTCTGCTAAAATATTTAAAGATATTGGGGGGTGCAAGTATAGTAAAAAAAAAAGTAGTTTCACATTTTAGAAGTGAAATAACAAAACACTACTAAGAGATTATCACAAAACTTTCACACATTTCTCCAAAAGATCAAACCTGACAACTGTGGGCTTTTCAGAGCTTTGATGTAAGAAGATGCAGAAATGCATATAAAAGCTATAAGGGAAAGAAAAGAAGCATCCATTTCAGCAGAACAGAAAAATGAACCTGTATGATAAAATGCACAGGTTGGTCTGCAATTCAGCGTAAATAAGCAAACACAACACCCATATATTTGTAAGCATTAAAATTGAATTGCAAAGTAATGGTAGAAAAATGTACAAGAATAAAAATATTTAGATACTTGTACCTAAAATCTAAAGGAAAAAAACAAAACTCAAACACACCAGAATTCTGATATGTGGCATAACAAATTCAATTTAGGGGAGCCAAATTATAGCAACCTTTACTAACATTGGTTTTCTTAGGTGTATATTATTCAGAATGTAGAATTCTAATTGTAGAAGAAATTCCGAAGTCCCAACAGAAATGGCACTAAAATATAATAAAGCAATAGTGTAAAAATATTGAATGTGTCCAAATCCATGGTTATAAATGATATGTTGGAGGACTGGGGGTGGTATTGGTACTGGTATTTGTGTTAGTATTATTTATCTCCTAAAATGGCCCCTATTTATCACTGCTCCACCTGATAAATTCACCTGGTAGTTTGGGCTTATATGGAACCAGGACTTGGAAACCAGACATGCATCTGCATTAAAACTACATACACATAGACTTCTGAGAAGTGATGAAGTCCAGTAAACCCTGAAGTCTTTTCATAATAGAACTACTGAATTTGTCATAATTGTCATAAACCAAGATGATGGCCAGCTATAACATTTATTATGCATAATTCAAGACAAAGAGGGTCACACAGATCCATTCTTAATTGCAGTAGATTAATTTATGAATTGTAGTTTATTTATTATTAATTTGCTTTTTAATATATGTTCATTTTCAGAAGACACAACCAGCACTGTTAAAGCAGGTATACTCACAGGTGTAAAGATCTTAATGATGACAATACAAAGGAGGAAAAAGATACCTTTCAGAATCTCAGAAGATAAAACTAAAAATAAAAGAAAGGCTGATATCTTTAATAGAAAAGTGTTAGAGCAAATTACAGAGAAAACTGAGCAAGATTTCACAGCTGGCAGAATACTATTGTAGAGAACTTTAAAAGTGAAAAATCAGCTCAGAAAAATCATGTGAACAGCTTAAATGAGAGATTTGCCTATTTTTAAAGCATCACTTTCTAGACTAATAGAAGGAGGGAAAAGAAAGGTGTGAAAAAGCTGAAGTATTTTATCTTGTTCCCTTGCATTTCTACAAAAGGAATATTCAGTAATATTCTTTCTGTCCAACAGAAATGTACTTATTAAGCACAAAAAGTTTGAGCTACAAAAGGAAGCTGGGACATGTGCTATCTGCTTCAGAACAATTTTCCGGTCTTTTCCTTATTTTATAATGTCTAAATAGCTGAAAAGAGTTATTGTATTTAACAAAGCTTTCACTGAACATCTGGAATACTGCATCCAGTTCTAGGGTCCCCAGTTCAAGAGAGACAGGGAGCTACTACAGAGAGTTCAGCAGAGGGCAAAAAGATATTTTGGGGATCAGAACGTCTTTCTGGTGAGGAAAGGCTGAGAGAGATGGGACTCTTCGGCCTGGAGAAGAGAAGGCTGAGGGGAGACCTTATTAATGCCTATAAGTATCTGAAGGCTGGGTGCAGGGAAGATGGAGCCAGACTCTTCTCAGTAGTTCCCAGTGACAGGATGAGGGGCAACAGACACATACTGGAACACAGGAAGTTTCATTTAAATATGAGTAAAATTTGTTTATGGTGAGGGTGACAAAGCACTGGGACAGGCTGTCCAGGGAGGTTGTGGAGTCCCCTTCTCTGGAGATTGTCAAGACCTGCCTGGATGCATTTCTGTGGAATGTGCTCTAGGCAATCCTGTTTTAGCAGGGGAGTTGGACTGGATGATCTTGAGAGGTCCCTTCTTTGACAATTCCATGATTCTGTGAATAGTAACTGAAGTATAAAAGGCAATTACAACTGAGCAACTCTTAACACCAGCTTAAAGTCCTCTTATTTATTTTATTTCTTATTTTATTTGGATACTTGTAGACTACAGATGCTAATAAAACACCACTAGCCAAGTTAATCCATAAGAGAAAGGGTATCCTTGATTAGAGAAAGCAGCTGCTATCATCAGGAATCATCTCAGGAATCTACTTCTGTGCATTTTACCAGTCCAAAATCAGTGATTACTGATAGTGCTGTTTACATTTGTACAGTTTACCTTTCTTGACACCAGTGTTTCAAACAAAATCATGCAAGTATCACTATATATGTCACAATATGACCCATGCAGGATATGAACTCAAACCTCATCAACAGATAGATGATAAAATGAAAATAAACCTCAAACATCATAAATTATTGTTTCTTGTGCAACATTGCAGGGATGGATCCTTGTCCCAGTATTGTTATCACTGATCTGGAATCAAGTATCCAGTGATTGCTGACTGAAATTATATGGTTATGTTACATAAAAAAGCTAGAAGAACACTGACATTTGTAATATGTATCTGTGAAAATTCATTTTAGTTTGAAATGTCAAAATATATGTTTGTAGGTAAAAGTTTCTTTTTAAATAATAAAAATGTTGGAAAGTGAATTTTTTTAATATATCTGAAAATTTATGACCATGTTGGCAACAAACCCAAAAGACACACTTCTGGAAAATTTTCATTTGTGCTGAAATTAGAAGTACTATTTCAAGATTCTACTGAGGAAAATAGTGAACATTCATTTTTACATAATTAAACATATGTAATTATGAGTAAAAAATATCTCAGTCACCACTGTCAGTTTATCAACAATGGTAATGAAAAAGAAGATATTTAAAATGTGTCTTCTGGTTTAGTTCAAATGATACCTCAAACGAATGCCTGTATCACTAAGCATTTCAACTTAACAATGAATTAATAATGATGATTCAAACAAATGTAAAATAATTTGTACTTTCTTTCAAGGCAATATGATAGTGGATTAGCAAATGAAAGCAATGGACTCTGCTGCCTAAAAATCATCAAACTAAGATAAAAGACATTTTTTAAAAGAAACATCATTTTTTGTCTCATATGGTGTTGAAATAAAAAGCTTTGGGAAAGAACCAAATATTTCAGTCAATAATTAGGAAAGTGAAATTAGTGATCAACAGACATAACTCAAAAATTGGGATAATTTACTTACAATTTAGACTAGAGTAAATATCCACAAATATCTTAATAACCAGAGTTTATTCATTGAATAGTATATTCTAAGTAGCTGTAACACATACACAGACTGTTTATTACTGTTGTAATTAGTATAGTATATTTAATTAGCTTTCCCATATAACTGTGTTTCTAGAAATGCAAATATAATGGCTTACCAAGATGGTGGTAACAATTAAAGAGCGATTGGACAGAGAATCTGTGATGTTTGCTGGTTTTCCTTTCTGATTCTCTGTCATGTTAAGGCCACTCAATGGATCCCAAGTTCCAACCTATGAAGCAGTAACACGAAAATTCCTAAAGAAAGGCCATCATCTTACTTCATCAATTTTGAAACATTAATTCATTAAATAATCTATTTTATTGAAGTTCAAGTTCATAATTCAAATTTAACATAGCAAAAGCTAACATGTTGCTAATTAAAATGCATCCTCTCCTATTTTTCTGTATAGCCACAGCCACAGGGATGTGAGTAATTATCAGTGGTTAGAATCAGCTCTCTAGACTTATAAGAACTATCAAAAGCATTACTTTATAGATAAAATTCTGTTTTGAGAAATTATTTTGTTATTTTTAATCAATTATTTTAAATTTTAATTAGTTTATTGAACTTGTATTTTAGTTTTGTGAATCAAAAAAATCAAAGAAATTGAATGAAACTAACACATTCCAAATAAGATATTCTTTTTATTTTCTTTATGAATGAGCTAGAACTCAACACCTTAAGACACAGATTCTGATACACTGCTGATTTATATAGCTCCCAAATCACACAAATATATTCTCAAAGCTGTTACTTCTAGAGAAAATTGTGCATAAACAGTGCAGAATATTGATTCTTCTCTATTTGCCCTCTATATCCCTTCATGGAATGCTTCATAGGAAGACTCTTTATTATATTTTTGAAAAATGTCACTACTTATGCAAATATTTAATTAATATTCCAAAACTTATATAGAAAGGGGGGAAGGTCTGGATAAATATGTTGTTTAGGCTAGCTTCTCCACTCAATGATTTATATTAAAAAAAGAAATGCAAGCATAGTGCCTTTCCTTCGTTTCTCTTTTTTTTATGACCACAATATTACCTTGGGCCAATAGTTGATAAAGCTTTATCTGAAGATGAAGAAAAACACAGTGCATACAAAACACTGAACATAACAGATAAATACAAACTAAAAGGCAAATGTAAATTGCAAATTTTTTTGTCTGCTGATCACAACAGTGTGAGATGCTGCAGCTTCCTGCATTGCCTCTCCATGGCAGGGTGGCTGAAGAAGAGTAGGAAGATGATCTGATTTCAAATCATCAAGGTTTCATGTAGGTAGGCGAAATATCTGTATGTGCTCTCTAAGGCCTGTAGTTCAAATATAGACAATATTAGGCTACACAGAAAGTTCTCAATCCTTTGGTCTTTCACTCCATCTCTGCACAAGAAAAATTCATGTCAGAAGATAGACAAACCTATCTGGCTACTTATTCTTAATTTTTTGGTGTCACAGATAGAAACTTTGTACTCCAAGAAAGTCAAAGTTCTCCCTTAAAACACAAAATTGCCAAAATAAAGCTGTTTTATTTCATTGATTGGGGTTATTCTTCCTGTATTATTAAGATGTAAACAAAATACACCTACACATACCCACAGGTTCATCCAGAGTCCTGCTCTTCCCTACTCCTCTCAAATATAAGAATGTGGCAAGAAACACACTGTTAAAAGACAATGAACTTTCAAATATCAAGATAACAGCTTTTAATAGAAGACTTTGAAACCAACTATCAAGTTGAGGCCAGGTATATTGTTTTACATAACACATGAAATGTTATAGAAATTGCTACTGTTTTTAGAAGGCAATTTTTTTATTTTATTTTTTTTCCCATCACTTTGGAGGTAAACATCTTACACACCTTTTCAAGACCTTCTTCCTTAAGGCTGATAACATCTAAATCAAAATCTGTCCTTAAGCCGTTGGTTTTGTTGAAAGTTATCCTGCCTGTGAGGCCTTCCCAGTGAGCCTGTGGAGAAAGACAAATAAATAATTAGCTCTTCCTTTTTTTCCTCAAAATAAAAATTGACTTCTGACAAAATGGAAATACTGATTATTCATTAGATCTATATAATTTACCTTATGGATGATGTTAAAAAATAACACCCTTGCATTTCCTTTTTTCCAATTAAATTAACCTTCTTTCAGCCTTCACAGAAAAAAATGTAAATAACTTTCCATATTAGCCAACAGACTTTTCTTACTAACTGAAATAAAAAGTTGTTTTGTTTTAAATTTTCCATCATTTATGCATGTATTTTCCTTCTGCTTCCTCACATGCTTATTCCCACCTCGTCTACCCCAAGCCTCAAGCTTTTTCATTAATACTGGATTTCATTTTTTCTTCAGGAAATTTCATTCAAATAAAATTTCATTCAAATAAAATTTCATTCAAATTTCATTCAAATATTTTTGTAAGATGCCAGGTCTCTTGAAACCACTCTGAGAAAGTGAAAACTGAGGTCACTGAGCCAGTCTTCCAGAGCTGATTCTTTACTTTTAATAAAGTGAAATATCCTCATCTTTTAATATCTTAAAGTCTACCTAATTCTAAAACTATACAAAGTAGAGAGGGGAATGTGGAAAAAAATTTATCATCCTAAAATGAACCAATATTAAAAAAAGAATTATATTCCACTACAAATAGTTCTCTTTATCATAGAATTTTGCATATATGCCAACAACACCAAACTGTGTGATGAGATCAACACACTGGAAGGAAGGGATGCCATCCAGAGAGAACCTTGGCAGGCTTGAGAAGTGGGCTTCTGCAAACCACATGAAGTTCAACAAGGCCAAGTGCAAGGTCCTGCACCTGGGTTGGGGCAATCCCAAGCACAAATAAAAGTTGAGTGGAGAATGGATTGAAAAAGGTCCAGATGAGAAGGACTTGGGTGTGATGGTGGACGAGAAGCTGGCATGAACCAGCAATGTGCTTACAGCCCAGAAAACCAACCATGTCCTGGGCTGCAGCAAAAGAAGCATGGCCAGCAGGGCCAGGGAGGTGATTCTCCCCCTTTACTCAGCAATCATGAGACCCCACATAGAGTACTATGTCCTTTTCTGGAGCTCCCAACATAAGAAGGACATGGAGCTTCTGGAGAAAGGACCACAAATATGATCTGAGGGCTGGAGTACCTCTCCTGTGAGGACAGGCTGGGGGAGTTGGTGTTGTTCAGCCTGGGGAAGAGAAGGCTCTGGGGGGCCTCATAGTAGCCTTCTGGAATCTGAAGGGGAAAGCTGGGAAGGGACTTTTATCCAGGGTGTGTATTGAGAGGACAAGAGGTAATGAATCAAAACTAGAAAAGGGGAGATATTAGGAAGAAATTATTTAGTGTGAGGATGGTGAGACGCTCACCCAGGCTGCCCAGGGGAGTTGTGGAAACTCCATCCCTGGAATTGTTCAAGGCCAAGTTGAATGGGACTCTGAGCAACCTGGTCTAGTGGGAGGTGTCCTTGCCTGTGCAGAGGGTTGGAAGTAGATGATCTTTAAGATCCCTTCCAACTCAAACCATTTTATGATTCTATGATACTTAGTGTATAAACAGCTGACTAAGAGACAAAGGCCACATATATTAATTTGCTTTAGGGAAAAAAACAAACCAAACTAAAACAACGAAAAAAACACCACAAAACAAACAAACCCCAAGAAACAAACAAACAAAAGTAAAAACCACCACAAGAAAACCTAACCAGGGAGCAAACTTCATTCTTGCCCCCTTTGAGCTCATGTCAGCATTTAGTTGCTGAATTTGTCATCATCAGTCTATGGTTTGGGGTTTCAGGCATTTGGGATTTTATGCCACAAATATCAAACACACCCCCCACCAACTACCTGCAAGCAAGTTCTATTTATAATGCCCTTCCTTCACCCTTTTACGTTCCTTTGTTCCAACTAACACCTCAGGAAAACTCAATCTCAAAAAAAATACTGCCTTCCCTGCTAAACTCTTCCCACATAACAAGCTGAGAAATTCCCATCTACCTAAAGAAAAAAGACATAATTCAAGAAGAGTTGCAGCAAAAGAAAATGGGAATTGGGACAGTAATGAAGCAGGGCACTTAATTAGTGACTTACCTCTTTGATGAGGCTCATAAAGCGGGTCCCAAAGCGCCACGGTTTGTGGCGGTTACACTGGAGCGAACTGACCGTCATCTGTGGGAACTGCTGGACAGCCACGGACACCACATGAACTGCATCATACATTAGTGCTGCATCCGTCTGAAATTAGAATGAAATCAGAACCATGAACACAAAACAAAAGCATGTTTCGGACCAGCAGGGAGAGAAGGAAACAAAAAATTATCTCTACTTATTATGTTAAAGCAGGGAAATGAGCGGATGGCTGTGCAGCACTGTAAAATGTGGCCTTGTCGCCGAGTCCTACGTAAGATGTGCCAGGACCTTCAGGCTCAGCATTTCTCTTTTAAATGCTGAAATAAGGGCTCAAATATCAATTGTTAGGACCATAAGAGAACACTGGTAACTCTGATGACTTATCCTACTTCAATAATGCAGTGCGTTAGGAGGCCATACAAATCACAGTATACATGTTTGACAGAGTCAGTTATTTCCACTTGTGAGGTGACAGAGAAAAAAAAGAATTAGCAAGGAAGCAAAACCTTTACCTAGGAAGGAAAGTTCATATGCTAAGTAAATAATGTTATTTTGTTTTGAAATTTCAGAGTAGATGCAGTCCCAAAGGTACTCAGCTGCTTCATTAATAAATTTTTCTGGTTATCAGTTTAAATCCCTAAGACAGACCTAACCAGTATCTCCTATAAATCAGAGGCAAATTAGAATCGTATTACAATGCACATTTATTTTGATGGTTTTCATGTCCTGTCTTAAATAAAGAAGCTGCTTAGGCCTGGTTTGTGCTCACTAATGTTGTGTTAACAAAGGACAGACATAGGCTTTCAGTATACACTGCCATGATCTACAAGAAAAACCTCTCTCTCCTGCTCTATTTGATAAACAGGGGCAAACCATGGAACCAAAAGCGAGAGAGGAACTTAGATTCAGTTGGTGGCAATGACTACTATGCCATCTGCTCAGCATACCTTGGAGAAAAAGGACTTATTTCCCTTTCTCATTCACATAATTAGTGAGCTGTGAAATTAGTTCTTTAATGGATAGGGAACCTGGAGATTATTGCACTTGTCACAATACAATACAATGCAATACAAAATGAGCTTATATAGTGCCTTTCATGCAAATGCATCCCAAGGCTCTTTACAATAAAACTAAACATAAAAATGCAAAAATGCTCTATCATTATAGTCCATAAGCTGCTGTTAAAGGGAAAATATACTTTTACATTTAAATGGCTCTCCCAATGAGAGACTTCAAAATTCAAACAGAAATAAATCCTAATTTTAAAATAGCCAGTGTAATAGGTTCCAATGATCCCAGACGCCAAGGAGATTATGCAGGAGCTTCAAATCAGTCAGAAAATATTTTTGCTGCCAAATTGTTCATTATCTTCAAGGCATTAAATTGCTTTTAGGGCAAGCTGATATTTGACAAGGAGGCACTGAAACACCAAAAAGTTGGAATGACATGCTGAGTAAGCGTCATACAAAGCTTAATATTCTAGAAGCAATACTTGGCAGTAGTTGGAGCCTAGACAAGAGTTTTTAAAATAAACTATAGTAGTACAACATATTAATCTGGCTCAGAAGTGCAAACTTTTTCCTTTTTTTTTTTTTTCTTTTAAAATCAGCTTAATTTCTAAAACTGTAGTTCTTGCACCAATGAAGGATAATTGAAATTGCTGTGAAATTTTAGCAAAAGCAGCCCATTAAGGCAAAAAGTTCAAAAACAGCATTAACTGATTAAATAGATGTAAATTTGGACACAGAACTAGTAAGACACATCAGAAGATATCAAATGGACATTGTGTCAGATGCAGAGTATTAATGTGGCTTTTTCACAAACTCTGTAAGCCACTGAGCTGGAAATCTGTAGGATGACAAGACAACCAACTGCAGTGGAAGCACTTTAAAAGCTATTAGTTTTAGAAGTCATTCAAATTCTGATAATATTCTTCATATTTGACTGATGAATATCACTTCACTGGAAGTAAATCTAAATCAGAATGTACTTCTTTTTTAAATGCACACAACATAAAATAATCACTGGCTGAAAGTTGAGTACTCTATTTGATTTTTAGATGGTACAAGATAAATCCCTTACTTACATGGGAAGAGATTCCACAACTCACTCTGTATAGGCAGATTAAAGCTTAATGTAGAGGTAAATGTCTATACTGAATAAAGACAGATAGAACCACACACTCAAGAATATATTGGTTTAGTGAGTCAATACATTGCACTCAGCTCACTGGCTGCAACCATTGATTTTACTATGAGAGAAATAAAAAGCACAGAACTCAGGAAAAGATATAAAGTATATACTTGAATTTACAGCCTGGGCTCTCCTCTTGCTTGGTCACTTTGCCTTTCCTCTGAGAGACAGTAGGAATTGATAGCTGTTGGCCTTGCTCTCCACCCTCATTCATTAAGCTTGCTAACCTTTATGCCTTGCTGCCCTTTGTCCATACCACTTTCTCTTCCTTAAATCACACTTTCAGAATTGTGATTTGTGGTACAGGATCTACTGCAGGTTTCAGTAAGAGACTGTCTGGACACCAGAGAGGAAATGTCCCTAGTGATTTTTTTAGGATTCTTTATTGCATCTAAATAGAGACTAGCAATCTGAAAGGAAGAAGAGGTAGAAACTTCAGGAGAAGCAATGGTTCTTGAATTTCAGATAGAAACCTGCTATAATGCTTCCATTCACAGAAGCACACATAATACAAGGAAACAATCTTATTGAAAAATCTGATTAGTGCTGCTTTCATTAACTTGTATAAACTTTTTAAGAATTCTGCTGTATGTCACAAATATATCTTGATACAGTTTCTGAACTATGGGTTGTAGGTTGTTTGATGGTTGTTTTTTTTTCACAATCCCACTTAGCATTCATTGTTACTTCCTTGGATTCAGATAACCTCAACTAAGACACTGCTTATCATATGTTATTTGTATGTCTACAGCTACAAAAGAAAAAATTACTTTAACTACAGAAGCTACAAAAAATGTTCATCAGATTGAAATAGAATGAGATTGAGTTAGGTGATTAAGATGTCAAGAGACAGATGTCTGTGACCACAAGTCTGTTTTTCAATTGACTGTCAAGCAACAAGAAGGCTTTTAGCACTCAGAGGTAACAGATTAATCAGAGACATGATTTCAGTCACAGTATAACTCAAATAGGGAGAAAATACCAATCTGTGTTTGATTTTTATCCCAAACTTGGATACTACAGGTTTATTCTCAATACTATTCTGTCATTCCTTTATCTCTTGTCATATTGTGGGTATTGTGTTTGCCTCTATTTTTTTTACATTAGTTACTGTATAATCACTTCTCAGTCTTGGTAAATTACTCACTAAATACTCTAACAAATTGTATGTAAGTACCCCAGTCTCACTGTGAGAGGGTTCTGGTGGAGCTGAACTCAGTATAGAGGAGGTAGAAAAACAGTCCTCTCTATTATTAAAGAAAGAGTCTAATGTAACTCACGAGGCCTTCTCAGAGTAAAAGGTGGTCTTTCTCATCACCAACCACTCCTGAAGATGTCTAAGTCTTTTGATTAGCTCTAGTCAGTGAGCATTGATTTTTGCCAAAAGCTTGCTTGTCCTGATTAATTAGTATTGTAGAGACAGCTCAAGTTCTGGGGCCTTGGAGGTGGAGCAGAAAGTTGGCAGGAGAGTATTTTGTTGCTGGTTTCTAACCTATTTGGGCAAAGCTGATGCAGAAGAAACCCACTATAGCCTGGGTCTCAGCCAAGAAGAAATCTTCCCCACCTAATGGAAATGAAAAACTGCTTCCGTGCCAAGTTTTTCTGCCCTTCTTATGACATAAAAAATGCATGATTTTCGGTGACCTTCAGTAAGGCTGATAGGTTAGATGAGAATCAGCTGAAAATCCTGAAACCACATGGGCTGTTTATGCACTACAGCTGTAACCTGAGATCTGGGTCTGTATCTTAAGACCTTCCAAAAAAGTGAGAGGACGGGCTCACACTTATATCCAGCTAAATCCAAGCAAGGTTACCAGAACAGAGGTATCATGATCTTCACAACCATCTTCAGGCTTGCATGACATAAGAGTTCATTGATGCTATTTGACATCTGATTCAATAAGGTGCTAATTACTTTTGGAATACATGTGCCTTATTAACTAATAACAGTTAAAAAATAGTGCAGATTCCACATTTAGTGACATCCAATCATGACTTATGTGTGCATCTTATTTCAATGGCAATGTTTTTGTCTGACATTTCCATTTCCTTCCATCAAACTATATGAGGATTTCCTGTACCTATAAACCACTCCTCTCTGATTCATCTCTCTGTGTTCCAGAAATTGCAAAATATGTGCTTTTTTTTTTTTTTTTTTTAGTAAACATTAATTTTAGCATACAATCAAGCTTAATATTAAGATGAAGGATTGCTAAACTAATTCTGTTTCCTCATGGGCTATATCAGAAATAGTACACTTCTCAAGGAAAAAAAAAAAAAAGTTTCAGCTTTTATTATCATAAATTATAGTCCTCTATAATCTACAATTAAAGAAAAAAGTTACTTAGACATGATCTGAAAGTACTTTCAATTACTAAAATACAGATGATTAAAAACAGCTTGGAAGCAGGAAAAGACCCTGAGGTTTTCAATAAAAATTTAAATTAAACTAATGTGATTGTTTTTCACCTTAATTAAAATTATTACTAATAAAAGTCTGTGAGGAAATATGGTCTTCTATTTAAAAGGTGCTCTGTGAAGCACTTGAAAACACCAAGAAATTTTCTATGTTGAATGACATATGAAATAAGTCAATGGAAAAGAGAAGCTTAAAAAATTTATTTTTTACTGTTTAGTATGTGATTCAATGTGGAGTTATTTGAAATACTAGTAGTTCATTTTCCCTAGATCAGATTATTGTACTTACAAAATCTGTGATATACAAGATCTCATAGTAGCCCTCTTTCCTCAGACAATTTTTTTCAGTGACTGTGAAGAACTGTTTCCTCAGAAAGGGAGACAAAGAAGAGGACCAAACAAAAGGGTTGGTGTTGTTTTTTAAAAAAATATTTTTTGTTAGCTAAATTAATTATCTCACTAACAAGATTATCTTAATGAGGATTAGACTCCTT